CTATGAAATTGTTGCTGTTATTCCAATAGCTCATTTATAAAAGTATTTCTGTATTGCCATATCATAAAATATTAGGTTCCAGGAGGTGTGCCATTTTCCAGTTGCAAAGATTCACAATGTGTCAGAGAAGTTGCCCAATGGGACAGCTCAGTCAGTAGAGCATGAGTCATGGGTTTGAGCCCCTCCTTGGGCAAAAAGATTCCTGCATTGCAGGGGTTGGACTAGATCATCCTTGTGGTCCCTTCAAACTGTTTCATTCTATGCTTCTTAAGAAGCCCACTCACCACAACCCCTTCCTTCGGATTTATGTGGGTACAAAGGATACTGCCAGACAGTCTTTGAGGTATTGCAAGGGACTAGGAAGCTCTGGGCAGGAAGCTGAAGGGCCTTGGGGGACAGGTGGTCTTTTCATCACTCCTTCCTGCTGAAGGTCATGACCCAGGAAGAGGGGAAAATACAGGAAGCAAACCACTGGCTGTGCGTGGTGTCGTCAGGAAAGCTTTGGATTCTTGGGCCATGGTTACTTCTTTGAGGAAGGACTTTGACTAAACATCAGGAAGACCTTTCTGATGGTATGAGCTGCTCAATAGTAGAGCGGACTCCCTTGGAAGGTGGTGGACTCTCCTTGGTTGGAGTTTTTTAAGCAGAGATTGGATGGCCAGCCATCAGGGGCTCTTTAGATGCCGTGCTCGACATTCCCTGGGGTGCCAGGCACATTTTGCTACTGGCATGGGTCCGGTTGTGGCTATGTGGAGATTTCTGGGTACCGAGTAGACAACTGACATCTCCACCAAGCCAGCTGATGCATGTGCAGCAAAAGCTGTGTGTCTTGTGCTTCTGTGCAGCTGCGCAAATTATGGACCCCTTGCTGGGCATCTTAGTCCTCCATCATCACTTCAAGGAAAGTAAGTGCAGAGATATTCGGCTGTGCTGCAGCCTTTCCACAGCCACTCAGATGGAACTCACAGACCACAGTTTAAAAAGCCCTGCCTTAGTCCATAGTTAAATACCTTTTTCATTTCCACTGTGTGTGTTTCTTCTTCTGGGACAAGTGAATTGTTGTAAGAACAAGCTACAATCAAGCAATGTAGTGGAGATCATAAAACCACAGAATCGTAGCCTTAGAAGGGAACTCAAATGTCATCTAGTCCAACCCTCTGGCGAACAGACATTCTGTTGTGGCGACCGTAACCTAGATTTAAGGTGCTATTTTGCTATTTAGTGCCTAGCTTATATATATATATATATATATATGCGCAGGGGGTTGGACTAGATGACCCTTAGGGTTCCTTCCAACTCTACTATTGTATGATTCTACCTTCTGCGGTTGTACAATCTGGCTAAGAGGATACCAAGTGAGCCGTGTGTGTGTGTGTGTGTGTGTGTTTTCCTGGCAGAGGAAGGCCTTGAGAAAGCCCCCTGGCCTGAGCTGCCCTCCTTTAAAGCAGGAGAAAGCTTCATCTCTAACACAGGAAATGTATATACTGAGCTACTGGAATAGCAACAACAACTTCATAGAATCATAGAATTGTAGAGTGGAAAGGGACCCAAGGGTCAACTCGTCTTGCAGGAATCTCTTGCAATGCAGGAACCATTGTTAAAGCATCCACAGTCACACGGCATCCACTTTTTCTGCAGGTCCATAATATGCTTCTTCTTCTGCAGTGCAGAGGAAGTGTCCAGTTCTGGACACCCCAGTGTAAGAAGGATATTGACAAGCTGGAAGATGTGCAAAGGAGGGTGATGATGAAGGACCTGAAAACCAAGCCTTATGAGGAAGGGTTGAGGGAGCTGGGCACTGTCAGCCTGGAAAAGAGGTTCTACCAGCCTGCCATGAAAGGGACTTGATCCTGTCCTGTCACCACTTGCAAACAGCCCTTAGCATCTTCTGGTTTCGGTTGGTGCCAATAACGTGACGACCCGGCCGTGGGCTTTCCCGTGGGCCTCCTCCTCTCCTCTCCACCCCCCGCGTGAGAGATGCGCCGGGTCTCCGGCCTCCGAGAGGACCAGAGGGAGGGAGGGAGGAGGAAGCCGTCCGCGCCGGCCCTTTCCTGCCTCTCCGTCTCGCCGCTTCTGGAGCCTCCTCGGCCTCGGGATGGGTGCGGCTGCGGCTGCCGCCGAGAGGAAGCCCGAGGGGGCGGCGGGCTTCCGATCGCCTCCGGAAAGGGAGGGCGGCGCCCGAGTCTGCCCGAAGCGCCGCCGGGAGAGCCGGGCATCTTTCTGGGCTCCCTCTCGGGGCGTTTGCCGTCCCTGCAGCGACGGGGCGGGGGGCAGAAAGGCGCGCGCGGCCGCGAGAGGGACGAGGCGGAGGCGCGCGCGGGAGGCTCCTCTCCTCCTATGGCGGGCGGAGGTCGCGCAGGGCCGGGAAAGCGCCGCTGCCCCCGAGAGGGAAGGAAACGTGCCTCGCCCGAGGGGCGCGGAAGCAGCCCGGCCGGAGCTCGCCGAGAGACGCCCCGGCCAGGGCCATGCCAGGGTCCTCGGTGCCTCTCCAAGCCCCGCTTTGGCGACGGACGGAAGAAGAGGCTGCAGCCGAACGGGGTTCGAGGAGCCGCCAGGAGGACGCGAGGAAAACGGGAGCCGCCGCTGCCGCGCTCTCATCCCAACACGCGGAACGACGGAGCAAGAAATAGTTCAGTCGGTAGAGAATGAGGCTCAGGGTCGTGGGTTCGAGCTCCACTCTGGGCAACAGAGTCCTGCATCGCCGCGGGTTGGACTAGATGACCCTCGTGGTCCCTTTACAATTCTATAAACAAATTCTGCATGCCTGTTCACCCTAGAACATGAAGGTGCCCAAACTGCACCAACAGCTGGTAGCCAGGAGGACCAGGCTCTCCCTGCAGCGTCTGACGCATTATGGCTCTGAACAGTAGTTGCTGGGAATCACAGGCGCGCAGAGCCCTGTTGCAGTCATGTTCAGCGTGCCAGCTTCCCATCGGGCATCAGGGTGGGCACTGTGAGAACAGGCTGCCACACTAAACGGCCCACTGGCCCAATCCCGCTGGCTCACCTCATGCTCTTATGCACGCACACACATTTATTTATATATCACTATTCATTAAAGGTATCACAGGGGTTTAAAACAGTTGAACATAAAACCAAATAATGCAAACCCTGTAAAAAGTTAAAATCAGAAATCAGCTGTTGTGGAAGGATGTATTTTTAACTGCCTGCATAAGCCTAGCAGAAGAGTTTCCAGCAGGCGCTGAAAAGTTGAAACAGAAGGTGCCTGGTGAATCTTTGTTGGCAGAGAGTTCCACAGAACTGGGCCAATGGCAATGAAGGCCATGTTACGTGGTGATGTAAAATGAGCCTCACCAAATTCGGAGGTGGCCAACAACGCTCCTGCAGATGATCTGGGATACAGGGGGTTTAATCCCCAAGGTTTCCTGGGCCTAAGCAGTTCAGGGCTTTGTAAATACAAGAAGAACCTTGAACATGGCTCCATAGTGAGTGTGCCCACTTACAAGTGCAGCTGTTTGATCAATGGTGGCACATGTTCTTGAGCAGAAGCTCCCGTAATCAGTCTGGCTGCTGCATTCTGCACGGGCCAGAGCTTCCGAACCAGACCCAAGGGCAGCTCCACATAGAGCACATTGCAGTAATCCACCCTTGAGGTTACCGACACATGATCTGCAGCAGTCAGGCTCTCCCTGTCCAGGAACAGCCAGAGCTGGTCAAAGGCTTCTCTAGTGACAAAGTGCCTGCAAGTGACACACTTGCTCCTTCAGAGGGAGGGCCACCCCATCCAGAACTGGTAACCTGCCTGCCTCTGGAACATGGGAACCACCTGCCCCAAGGGCCTGTCTTCAGAGGCCCTCATCCAGTCCACCACTGCATTCAGACACTGATCCAGACCTTTCATTGCCTCTCCTGGTTCAGATACCATGGAGAAGAAGAGCAGCAGACCTGTAATACCTTGCCTCAAAATACCACACGGCTGCTCCCAGCGGCTTCATAAAGATCAGGGCTGCAAGAGCACTTTGACATGGGATCCGAGTGCTGCACACTGCCTTGAATGTGAGAGGGGAGAGCAAGGCCAAAATGTGGCACGCAGCACTCCTCGTCATGCTTTCCCATCCCAAAGCCCAGTGCCTCGCTGACCTGGTTTTGGGAATGCAGCATGAGGGCTGATGGGTGCAGTGTCAAATGTTGCTGAGGGCTGCCAAAAAAGGCCTTGAGGGCCGCATGTTCAACCACCCTCGTATAGGTCCTAATTAGCATTAGGGAGATGATATGTCGGTTGTGGGGTGACGTGCGTCTGTCTCAGGAGACAGTGCAGGAGTCTGCCTTCAGGGTGAAGTCAAACCGTTGGAGTTACAGCGCCTGCTGTGGCTGTAAAGACTGCTACCGGAGAGGCCTGTTTTGTTGCATCTGGGGCAGATGAAGGTGTCCGGTTGTGCTGCTGCAGATGCACCATGGCGGTTCTTCTCTCTGCGCTGCTTCCAGCGGTCGCTTCTCCTCTGGGCGCTGCTGGGGATGCAGGACCTCACTGTCAGTCTCCAGGCCCTGCGGGAGAGGACAGTGCCTTGCAGAAACCCGCAGCCCAGGTGCCAGGGGGCTGAGCAGATGCAAAGGGAAGCCGCAACACTGCGCCCGCCCGCCCTCCCGTCAGGCCCGGCTTGGACTACAACTCCCATCATCCCTGAGCTCCGGCCTTGCTAGCGAGGGGTGATGGGAGTTGTAGTTCAACCCCTGCAGCCGCCGCTGGCCCCGCTCTCCGGCTACGGCGTCTCCGAGGGGGCCCCTCCCAGGACCGGCTTCGGGGCCAGACGCGGAAGCCCACCCCCCTGGCTCCGCCCCGGTGAGGCGCACCAGGAAGTCCCGCCTCCCAAGCCGGCGACTGGCTCGCTCTGGGCACGTGGGAGCGTTGCCGGGCGACGCGCTGAGCCGCCGCTTCCGCCGGGGCGAGGGGGGCTCATGGGTCGGCGGCGCCGGCAGCGGCGGGAGCGAGAGGCGGCCCCTCGGCCCGCGCCGCCCCCGTCCGGGCGGGTCGCGTCCACGGGGGCAGCAGCGCCGCCAGCAAGCGGTCCGCCGCCGCCATGGGCTACACGCGCGACCGCTTCGCGCTCCGGATGGCGCCCGCGGGAGGCCGCCGCGCCCCCGCCATCCACCGGTGAGCGAGCCCGGAGCCTGGCTTCCCGCCGAGCGCGGGCAGAGTGCAGGCCTCTCCCGGCCGCGCGGAGGCCCCTGGGAGCTCCCAAGAAGCACTGGGGTAGAATCCTGGCTCTGTAGAGCTGGAAGGGACCCGAGGGTCATCTAGTCCAGCCCCCTAACAGACGGCCATCTGCTTGAACCCCTTCAAGGAAGGTGGCTCCTCTCTAGAGAGCGGGCTGACCCCCGGAGGGTGAGGTGGGCGGGCGGAGTGCTGCTGGCTGAAGGAGCTCCGTCAGAAAACCAGCTGCTGAAGCTGCGTGTTAGCAAGGCCGTCCCCTTAACTCTTCTCAAGATATTGAGCCCAAACCTCTTGCTGTCGGTCCAGCTTGCATGAATGAATTGTGCTGTGTGAAGAAGGTCTTCCTACTGCCCTGCATCTCCCAGCTCCCACTCACCCGGTGGCCTCCTTGGGTTGCAGTTTTGTGAGAGAGGGAGAAGAGCTCTGCAGAGACATCTTTCTCATCGCCCCTCAGCCACCTTTTCCGTGGGTTAAAAAGCCCTCATGGGGGACAGATAAAGGATCCCCACTTTGCCACCTGTTGACTGTGTGAAACAGAAACACCACAGTCACGAAACCTCTGCCATTTGCTAGGAAGCTCCAGTGGGGAGAGGAGAGGGTTGCTCAGGGTCTCCTTGTGGGCTTCCTAGATCCCGTGAGAACAGGATGCAGGGTGGGTCTTCTTTGGCCTGATCTGGAAGCCAAGCTCTTCTTGATTATTTTTTTGCATATGTTTATATTGTGCCATTAAAAGACAGGAAATGGCTTTTCCTTTTCCCATCTGGAAAAGCAGCTGGAAGAGAAACCAAAATGTGCCTGTTCTGGAACAAAATATAGCATGCATTGTCCATGACCACAAACAGTTCATACACAGCAGCCCTGAGGACATCTTTCATGATAGCCCACCTCCAGCTGAGCTCTTCTGAAGTCTGTCATGGGATCTCAAGTATAAAACTAGAGGTGAACTCCATGTGCATCTTCTGTGGCATGTGGGCAGGAAACTGCCAGCACTAATAATAAATAATAATAAAAAATTTTATTTATATCCCGCCCTCCCCAGCTGAAGCCGGGCTCAGGGCGGCTAACAATAATAAAACAGTACAACAGTACAACACAACACAACACTCTAAAATCATTCATTATAAAATTAATTCAAATCAAACCAATGGCAACCATTGGGCCAGAGCTCCGCGAAGATTGCCGAAGGAGGGAGTCAGGCTGTGCCCTGGCCAAAGGCCTGGTGGAACAGCTCTGTCTTGCAGGCCCTGCGGAAAGATGTCAAGTCCCGCAGGGCCCTAGTCTCTTATGACAGAGCGTTCCACCAGATCAGAGCCACAGCCGAAAAAGCCCTGGCTCTAGTTGAGGCCAGCCTAACCTCTCTGTGGCCTGGGACCTTCAAGATGTTTTTATTTGAAGACCGTAAGTTTCTCTGTGGGACATACCAGGAGAGGCGGTCCCGTAGGTACGAGGGGCCTAGGCCGTATAGGGCTTTAAAGGTTAAAACCAGCACCTTAACCCTGATCCTGTGCTCCGCCGGGAGACAGTGCAGCTGGTACAGCACCAGGTGAATGTGATCTCGCAGCGAGGACCCCGTAAGGAGTCTCGCCGCGGCATTCTGCACCCGCTGGAGTTTCTGGGTCAGTCTCAAGGGCAGCCCCAAGTTGAGCAAGTTACAATAATCCAGTCTGGAGGTGACCTTCGCGTGGATCACAGTGGCTAGGTCAGGGCGAGAGAGGTAAGGAGCCAACTGCTTAGCTTGGCGGAGCTACTTAGTTTATTTACTTACATGGCTTGCATTCCACTCAATTGTCAATGTCTTGTGGGTGGGTAACAGTGACTGCTGTATTCGCCGGTGGTGAAAGAAATGTACCTGCAAATCTCACATAACCATGTGAACAGCCCATATATCTCCAGTGTGGCAGCTGCTGCTGTGTAGGACATGCGGATGGTTGTTCCTTCCTTATTTGAAATTTCTGTATGCCGCCCTCCATTACTTCCTGTGCTCTCTCTCATAGGGGCTACTATGTCCGGGCCCAGGCAGTGGAACACTGTGTCCGGGCATTCCTGCTCAACACTCAGAGCTGCCCGCTGAGGCAGGTAAGCTGGGGCGGGCAGAGAGCAGCCGCCACCCCTTTTGCTGTGGAGGGTTTTGCTGTGTGGCGGGTGCTGATGTTGCAAACTCCTTTCCCTGCAGATCATCTCCTTGGGCGCAGGCTTTGACTCCCTCTTCTTCTTCCTCAAGAGCGAGGGGCTTCTGTGCCACACAGTGGTCTTTGAAGTTGATTTTCCAGACGTGGCATGCCCTAAAGCAGCCCTCATCAGAGGAACGGAGGAACTGATTACCCTGGTGGAGAACAACGCTTCTGCACAGGCTCTGGGTATGGCGGTTGTCAATCTTGCCAGTCTGCACACACAGTGTGTCCCTGTTGGGTCTGATCTGTGTTGGTCCTGTGACCTTTCCAAGGGGGACATAGGGAGGCCCCCTGACTACAGGCGATGTGCTTCAGACAGCCCAGGAGAAGGAGGTGGCAGGTGGTGGACGCTGGATCCAGGCAGGGACATTGTTAGCAGGGTTGCACACCATCCAGACAGGGCAGCAGAGTCAGGGCTGAACATGTGGTGGTTACTGGCATTTTGGAGAGCCCAGTACTGGGCGCCTGATGGCAGGTATTCAGTGGCAGTTCTGGCAACAGAGATATGCGTGCTGAGCAGAGCAGAGTAGCCTGCTTAATGTTCGCTTGATGTGTGCAAAGCTGTTTTTCCTTCCTCACCTGCAAGGCTCATCTCCCGGCAGCCTGGCACTGTTTTTGCCTGCCCCCCTTGTACGAGGAAGGGTCACAGTCACTTTGTGGATGGCAGTGAGGAGCATCTCTCTGTCTGGGCTCCAGGAGGTGATGAATGACAGCTCTGTGACTTCTTTTCCCAGGAGCGACTGCTTTCTCTGGAGAGGATTACAGGCTGTTGGGAGTGGACCTCTCTGAGCTGCCGAGGCTGGAAGAAGCCTTGCACAGGGCAGGACTGGACCCCAAAGTCCCCACAATGCTCCTGGCTGAAGTGGTGCTCACCTACATGGAGGTGGAGAGGTTTGTGGAATGCACTTTCCCTCCTGGGTCTCCTTAGCTGCCTGAGGGGCAACAGGCTGTTGTCCTGACATAACATTCATAACAGCAAATGGTTATGTGCGCTCTGAGGGAACGTTGCTTGGCAAATGTTACTCAATGTACCGTATTTTTTGTCCTATAGGATGAACTTTTTCCCCTCCAAAAATGAAGGGGAAATGTGTGTGCATCCTATGGGGCGAATGCAGGCTTTCGCTGAAGCCTGGAGAGGGAGAGGGGTCGGTGCGCACCAACCCCTCTCGCTCTCCAGACTTCGCGCAGCTCTCCGCAAGCCGGGGGAGATCGGCGCGACTTCCCGCCGGGTTCCCTAGGCTTGCGGATAGCAGCCTGTTCTGGGGGCTGGGGCTTCCCCCAGCCCCGCGCCTGGGGGGGAAATAATTTTTTTTTCTTTATTTCCCCCCCCCCAAAAAAAACTAGGTGTGCCCTATGGGGCGAAAAATATGGTAATCAAGTGTGAAGTGATGCATGTGAATGTTTATGCTGTCTGAGCAAATTACATGCTTAGGATTCTTAGGAATGATTAATGGACTTCAATGTCTGTACACTAATGCGCAAAGCATGGGAAATAAACAAGATGAGCTTGAGCTCTTGGTACAGCAAACTAAATATGACATAATAGGCATCACTGAAACCTGGTGGGATAAGTCCCATGATTGGAATGTAATAATGGAGGGATACAATCTATTTCAGAGAAACAGACCAGACAAGAAAGGAGGAGGAGTGGCGTTATATGTCAGGGATGTGTATACCTGTGAAGAGATCCAAGATTTAGAACCTCAAAGCCAAAGTGGGAGCATTTGGGTCAAAATCAAGGAAGAGAAGAATAACAGTGACCTCATTGTGGGAGTTTACTATAGATCCCCAAGCCAAACGGAGGACATAGATGTTGCCTTCCTGGAACAGATGGCCAAGCATGCAAAAGGAAGGGAGATAGTAGTAATGGGGGACTTCAGTTACCCGGATATTTGTTGCATGTCAAACTCAGCCAAGAGCATAAGGTCAAACAGATTCCTCACTGGCCTTGCAGACAACTTCATTGTCCAGAAAGTGGGAGAAGCAACAAGAGGAACAGCCATTTTAGATCTGGTCCTAACCAATGTTGATGACCTGGTTAGTGGGGTAGAAGTGGAAGGATCATTAGGCGCGAGTGATCATGCTCTTCTGAAGTTTACTATACAGCGGAAAGGAGCAGCCAAGCATACTAGGACTCAATTTCTTGACTTTAAGAAAGCCGACTTCATAAAACTTAGGGAAGTGCTGGGTGAGATCCCATGGACAGTAATACTAAAAGGAAAGGGAGTTCATGATGGCTGGGAGTTTGTTAAGAGGGAGATAGTAAAAGCACAACTTCAGGCAATACCAATGAGACGGAAACATGGAAGGTGCCTAAAGAAGCCAGGGTGGCAATCTAAAGAACTTTTAACTGAGTTAAGATTAAAAAGGATGTGTACAAAAAATGGAAAAGGGGGGAAACCACCAAAGAGGAATTCAAACAAATAGCCAGCACGTGTAGACACAAAGTCAGAAAAGCTAAAGCACAGAATGAACTCAGGCTTGCTAGAGAGGTTAAAAGCAACAAAAAAGGCTTTTATGGGTATGTTCGTAGCAAAAGGAAGAACAAAGAAACAGTGGGGTCACTCAGAGGAGAAGATGGTGAAATGCAAACAGGGGACACAGAAAGGGCTGAACTCCTCAATGCCGCCTTTGCCTCAGTCTTCTCCGATAAAGAAAACAATGCCCGACCTGAAGAATTTGGAGCAAATGATTCAGCAGAGGAAACACAGCCCAGAATAACTAAGGAGATAGTACAAGAATACTTGGCTAGTTTAGATGTATTCAAGTCTCCAGGGCCAGATGAACTGCATCCAAGAGTGTTAAAAGAACTGGCAGATGTGATCTCAGAACCAGTGGCAGTCATCTTTGAGAATTCCTGGAGAACAGGCGAAGTCCCGGCAGACTGGAGGAGGGCAAATGTTGTCCCTATTTTCAAAAAGGGGAAAAGAGAGGACCCAAATAATTACCGCCTTGTCAGTCTGACATCAATACCAGGGAAGATTCTGGAGCAGATCATTAAGCAAACAGTCAGCATGGATTTCTGAAAAATAAGTCATGTCAGACTAACCTGATCTCGTTTTTTGACAGAATTACAAGCCTGGTAGATGAAGGGAACGCAGTGGATGTAGCCTACCTTGATTTCAGCAAGGCATTTGACAAGGTGCCCCATGATATTCTTGTAAAGAAGCTGGTAAAATGCGGTCTTGACTATGCTACCACTCAGTGGATTTGTAACTGGCTGACTGACCGAACCCAAAGGGTGCTCATCAAGGGTTCCTCTTCATCCTGGAGAAGAGTGACTAGTGGGGTGCCACAGGGTTCTGTCTTGGGCCCAGTCTTATTCAACATCTTTATCAATGACTTGGATGATGGACTCAAGGGCATCCTGATCAAATTTGCAGATGACACCAAACTGGGAGGGGTGGCTAACACCCCAGAGGACAGGATCACACTTCAAAACGACCTTGACAGATTAGAGAACTGGGCAAAAACAAACAAGATGAATTTGAACAGGGAGAAATGTAAAGTATTGCACTTGGGCAAAAAAAATGAGAGGCATAAATACAAGATGGGGGACACCTGGCTTGAGAGCAGTACATGTGAAAAGGATCTAGGAGTCTTGGTTGACCACAAACTTGACATGAGCCAACAGTGTGACGCGGCAGCTAAAAACGCCAATGCAATTCTGGGCTGCATCAATAGGAGTATAGCATCTAGATCAAGGGAAGTAATAGTGCCACTGTATTCTGCTCTGGTCAGACCTCACCTGCAGTACTGTGTCCAGTTCTGGGCACCACAGTTCAAGAAGGACACTGACAAACTGGAACGTGTCCAGAGGAGGGCAACCAAAATGGTCAAAGGCCTGGAAACGATGCCTTATGAGGAATGGCTAAGGGAGCTGGGCATGTTTAGCCTGGAGAAGAGGAGGTTAAGGGGTGATATGATAGCCATGTTCAAATATATAAAGGGATGTCACATAGAGGAGGGAGAAAGGTTGTTTTCTGCTGCTCCAGAGAAGCGGACACGGAGCAATGGATCCAAACTACAAGAAAGAAGATTCCACCTAAACGTTAGGAAGAACTTCCTGACAGTAAGAGCTGTTCGACAGTGGAATTTGCTGCCAAGGAGTGTGGTGGAGTCTCCTTCTTTGGAGGTCTTTAAGCAGAGGCTTGACAACCATATGTCAGGAGTGCTCTGATGGTGTTTCCTGCTTGGCAGGGGGTTGGACCTGATGGCCCTTGTGGTCTCTTCCAACTCTATGATTCTATGATTCTAGGAAAGGAATTCAAAATAAAGGTACCTGTATCATAACAGTGTTCTTCAAATCTGTGGTGAAATACAGTACAATCGGTTGAAAGCTGGCTGGTTGAAATCAAACAAATGCACAGAAGGTGGAGAGCTCAAAAGATCTTTTTGCGTGGCATTTTCCTGGGGCAGAAGGAGCTTTTGAGCTTTCCGCCTTGCTTACTGTGCTGTGGGAAACTCTGATGAGATTTTTTGGGATCTCCTGCTGAGATCGATCCAGAGTATTCCAGTGTCCACACGCTGACTGGGGCTCTGCAAGGGGGCAGTTCCAAGGGGGAGATGGGAATATATGCAGCATCCCTGGAATGGAAACCCCATGCAAGATGCGATCAAACTGTACTGTGTACAATTCTGGTCACCCCACCCCAAAAAGTTGTAAAGCTGAAAAGATATAGAAAGGGGCAACCAGGAGGATAAAGCAGGAGTAATGCCCCTATGAGAAAAGGCTGCAGCATTTGGGACTTTTTAGTAAAAGGCGAGGAAAAGGCAACAGAATAGATGCTCATAAAATGATGCCTGGCATGGAGAAAGTGGGTGGAGAAAAGGTTTTGTCCCTCCCCCATAACACCCTGGAGGAATATCCATGGAGGGAACCGCAGGAGGGGAGAGAGCTGCTGTTGTGCTTGAATCCTGCTTACAGGTTTCCCATATTGGTGTTCAGGTGGCTACAATGAGGACTGGATGCTGGACTAATTGGGCCATTGGCCTGATCTAGCAGGCTTTTATTTTACAGTGGTACCTCGGGTTAAGAGCTTAATTCGATCTGGAGGTCCGTTCTTAACCTGAAACTGTTCTTAATCTGAAGCATCACTTTAGCTAATGGGGCCTTCTGCTGCCACTGCGTGATTTCTGTTCTCACCCTGAAGCAAAGTTCTTAACCCGAGGGACTATTTATGAGTTAGCGGAGTCTGTAACCTGAAGCGTATGTAACCCGAGATACCGCTGTATTCTTAAATTCTTAATTTAGGTTGCCAAATACACAAGTTGGCCTTAGCACTTCTGCTTATTAGCCTTTAATTAACTTTATTTAAATAAAGTTAACTTTATTTAAACTTTACTTAAAATGTGTTTAAAGGTGCATTTTAATTGTTACAGGAGGACATGTCCTTGTGCTCCCTTCCAGCCCTAGGAGAGGAGGGCATTCATCTACCCGCCCTGCCTACTGTCCACACAGACCTTGGGGGCTGTGGGGCGCACCTTTGGTCTCCTCTGGTAGCAGACAGAGGCTGGAGCTAGGCTAGGTTGCTCTTCACTGCTAGACTTCACCCTCCCCTCCCTTGGTGCCTTCCAGGTCAGATGCCCTGGTCCGGTGGGCTGCTGGACACTTACTGCATGCGTGGTTCATCCTGTATGAACAAATCCATCCCGAAGACCCCTTTGGGCACGTCATGCAGAATCACTTCAGCCGGCTCAACTCCCACCTTCGTTCCCTGGCCCAGTACCCCAACTGTAAGGCCCAGCGGACCCGATTCCTTCAGAGGGTGAGTGCACGGGACTCAAGCGAGATGGAGGCAGGAAAGAGGGAGGTCCTGTCTTTGGCAGAGGGTGGGGGCAGCTGAAGAAAGTGGCCTGTGGGAGCTGCTGCTGCTGCTCAGGGCTGAGCGCTGCTCTCAGTGCTCTGCCTTTCTTTCCAGGGCTGGACAGAATGCAGCATCGTCAACATGAATGAGTTCTACAGCCACGTTGTCCTTGGAGAGGAACGGCAGAGGATCCAAGCCCTGGAGCCTTTTGATGAGTTTGAGGTAACTGGCCAGGACAGAGGCCCAGAGCCAGGTGCTTCTCTCTGGGCTGCAGTGGGGCATGGGCTTCAGCAGGTGCCTGAGAGTTCCAGGAAAGGGCCAGACTGGTGGTCTTCAGAGCTGCGTGAAGTGGAATGGCCTGCCCAGAGCTTTGCCAGGGCTGGCTGGCCTTATTCCAGGGGTGGGAGGTGCCCAGGGAGCCTCTGATGGCCAGCTGGTGCCAGAACCATCAAGCACTTCCAGAAGAGCATGGAGAAATCTGCCTAGAAGTGCCTCTCTGTCCCCAGGATCCAAAGAGGCAAAAACACCTGGGAACCTGCTGGCCAAGGTCTTAAGAACCCTAAGGAGAAGCTGCTGGATCGTCTCTTCTAGCCGCCTGTTCTCATAGCCTGTGGGAAACCAAGGAGTGAACAAGCAGCAGCGAGCCCCCTCCCCTCCCGTGCCCACCCTGGCAGCTCCTCTCAGCAGGGTCCTCCCCCCCTTTTTAAACTACAACCCCCCCACCTGTCCTTTCTGGAGACTTCTGTTGTGGTCACTTCCTGGGCCCAAAGGACTCCAAGTGGGTCAAGCCGGCTGCTGTGTCTGCTCTGTGAAAGGGGCGTAGGCTTCTTCTTCTTTTTTTAGATGATATTTATTGAGAATTTTAAAATTACAAAGAAAAAGAAGGAAAAAAAAAAGAGAAAGAGAAAAAGAAAGAAAAAGCTAAATAGAAATAACAATTAAACAATACAAATCAATAAAAGCCAAAGAAAAAAAGAAAAAACAAAACACACAATACATCAAAATCAAATAGCAAAAATAAACAAAAAATTTAAGAACAAATCCAATATTCCCAAATCCTTAACTTTCATTAACTTATTTCATCGACCTCCTCGCACCTCCCTTTTTTGTATTCTAGTTGTTAATTATCTCAGCAAATCCTTTCCATCTTTCACAATATTCTGTCATTTAATTACCTTAATCTATTTTACCTTATCTTACCATAAAAAACCTTAAAACGTAAAGCTTAAATCTTATTTATACCAAATTCTTTTAACCATAACATATTCTTACATAATTCTTACATAATTCTTTTTAACGTTTCTGCTAAAGCCAAATAATTTCATTCCAACATTTTTCTAATACTCATTAATTTTACGATACTTTTCCAAATAAATTTTTATAACTTTCTTCCAATCTTCATCCATCGTCTCTTCTTCCCGGTCTCGGGTTTTGTCAGTCCTTTCTATCCCATTCATCTGGTCCATCAACCTGATGATCTTATATCCGAGGCTCTTTAGTCTTTTCCATGTCCCTTCCGCAGGTCTTCTTCATATTTATACCTGCACTTTACTTTGTCTTCTGCTGATCTTATTCTTAATTTCCTTCCTTTCACTCGGGGAGACTCCAACTTGACAATATCTTTGTCCCTTCTCAACAAGTCAGCCCCTTTTCCATAATCAACACTGAAATCCATGTGATATTTAGAGGCATGTTTCAAAGTCCCTCCAAAGTTAAGGGCTCCCACATCTCTGAACTCCTCCCGGCCCAAAGCCAGACTCGAAATGTCAAAACATCCCTGCATAGGGGGATCCATCCAGCCCCCCATCTCCAGACCAAACAGAACTGCATCTCTCCAAATCTGACTTTTTCCAGATTCATTCGTCAAATCCAACAACTCATGTTCCTGCTGGGCCGCAGCTCTCTCCATAACTGTTACTTGAGACTCAGCAACAACCTCCTCCTTTATCTGATCTGTCAAAGCACATTCCTGGGTTAATTCCTGAGTGGGTTCTATATAGGTACCCACTGCCTGTCCAAAATTTCCAATCGCAACAGTCATCAAATCCACCTTCTCATGTAACTGTTCCAATAAAGCACTTGTCTTGCAAAAAGCAAGCACCAAAGCCTCCTCTAAGCACATTCTTGTTCAAGGTCGAAGTCTGGTCCCACGATCTTTAATCTCTACAGCTGCAAAGCTCCCCAGTTCGGCTCTAATAACAGTTTCACAAGCTCCCTCTAGGGGAAACAATTTCTATTTGTATTCATCTTTTTTCCCTTTTTTTTTATAAGCAGATCTAGCAACAAAATTTTCCTTTTTCGGATATTTTGTTCCTTTTAAATGCGAAAGGGAACAATGGAATCAATATGTTTCTCTTCTTTTAGCTATCTGTCAAAAACATTTGTCCATAGTCAATGAACTTCCTCAAAATGTCTGTCCTGACACCCCGCTCCCAGGTTCAAGACAGTGGAAATTTACCTTTCTTTACTCTCTCTTCTGCAGGTTTAAACAGGTTCCCCCCTCTTCTCCTGCTTCCAAGGGGGGGGTTCAATAATTTTAAATGATGAAAATTTAATCCTTTACAAACGACTTTCCAGACTCTAGCTTACGATGTCTTTGCTTCAAACTGTTTACAAAAGCGGAAGGCGGACTTCCTGTTTAGACCTTCCCGCTCCGGTGCCAAATTACGAAGTTTAATAATTCAATTTTCCGTTCTACTCACGGGTACTTGTTTAGAGTCCAGTTGTCCACAGGAAAAAAGTCAGCGCTCTCCGACAACAGCAATGCGGCTTCACTCCGTGAAAAGAGCAGTCGATTCGAAGCACCGCGCCGCTCACCCCACGTTGCTCCGGATCCCCGTAGCCGGGTTTCCCCGCGAGTAGGGGAGGCGCTAAAGGTGCCAGCCGAATCCCAGGTCCACAGGCTTCTCCCGCCTGTGGTTTTTGATGGGTCTCCGCCTCGCTGTGGCGGTCCAGACCCTAATTTTCACGGAGCGGGTTCCTCCAGATCAGAGGAAGCCCGCCATTGCCGGTGGCGCTAACCCGGAAGCAGCTCTTGGAGCAGCTCTGTGTGAGTCCTTTGGGAAGAACCTCCCACTTGGGACCTTGCAGGTCTCTGCCTTTCCAGCAGCTCCTTGCTGCGGGGCTGGATTTTAGGGTGCTGTACAAATGTCGAGTGGGCTGTGGAAGTGGGTAGCTTTTTCATTAAATTATCTCAGTGTTTGACAGAGTTCCTTGTGGCACTTTGCTTGGCGAACGGTTTGTACTGGACGAACGGTTTGCTTGGCGAACGGGCTGGACAATAATATCAGGTGGACTCACAGAGGAAGGTTTGAGTGGGAAACAGAAGCTGGACAAGGCAAGTGATTCCGCTTCCTGCTCTTTCTGTGCAGGAATGGCACCTGAAGTGCTCCCACTATTTCATCCTTGTGGCCTCCAAAGGAGAGACACCATCTCCAAATCTTCTGTTTCCTGGCCTGGAAGGTAAAAACACAGCAGCCCTTTTGTGGGTGGCGGGTGGGGTTGGAGCCAGGACATTTTGCCACTAGAGGCAAAGCAGAAAATGTCAGCCGTGCCACTGCCATGCACCTGCCCAGTGGCGCTGGGTGGGCATGAGGCGGGTGCACAGAGGGGATGTTGCCCTCATTCTCCACCCCACCCCCCCGTGTTTTGGCAGGGTATCGCCCTCTTTCCTCAGCTTCTTGGGAGGGGGCTGGGCTGGGCAACTGATTCAGACTGGAGCAGCAGCAGCCTAGCAGGGTCAGAGGCCCTTGGGTCCTGCGGCCGGCCGGCCACTTTCTATCCAGGTGAAGGCGGCCTAGGTGTGTTGGGCTTACCAGAAGCCCAGGAGGCCAAGACACATCCCTGGATGCCAGTCTCCAGGAAGAAGAAGCCGGGGTGGGTGGCGGGGTGCTGATGTTCAGAAAGTGCAGTCTTGAGAGGAGAATGGAGCTGGGGAGGAAGGCAAAGGAGAAGCGTGTTGGGGCATTGGCTGACTTCAACCAGCCTGGCACTGGAGAGGTAGCTGCCTGTTTGGACCCTGGCAAGAAGAGGCAGGATGAGAGTCCCTCAGGGCATGCAGTCAACCTAGGGAGAGACTCTAGTGCTGCCAAAACACTTCAGGGGCAGGAGGTTCAGAGCTGTCGGGAGAGTTGCCCTGAAAAACCAGGGGACTTGGCCGTGGTGGTGCATTGGGGCCTGGGGCCTGTGGGATTCCCTCCTGGGCAGAGGTGAGGCCACGTGGACTTGGGCTGGGGTGACTTAGAAGTGTGCAGCCCTTGTGCCGTGGGCTTCCTCCTGTTGTGGTGCCTCTGCTGCCAGTGACACCTCCTGCCCCCACCCCTGTTTCTCCCCTTCAGCCTCCCTGACTCACTCTCTGCCATGTTTTGCTGGGACTCTTGCTGCATCTGCTTGTGCCCCTGTCTCTGGGCTGAGGCGCTATGGCCACCGCTCTGTGGTCATTGCCCCTGACGTGATCCTGACCACTGGAGGTTTTGGGGACCACGGGGGACGTCACTGCCGCCTGACAGAGCTGCATGCCTTGATCAAGCAGAAGGATGCCTGGCAAGGGAGCAGTGTGACCTTGGCCGAGCCAGGAGAAGCCTGGGGTGAGTTGGCAGAGGCTCTCTCTGCATCTGTGGCTGCGTGCCGCCTCCTCTGTGGCTTGCCCAGCCTCCCTTGGGGACAGCAATCTGAGCTCCGTTGCCTCTTCTTCCTCCGCAGACGGCCGGCTCTTCCACTCCTTGACTCTTCTGCAGGCAGGCTGGGCCGTGGTGTTTGGGGGGCGTCGGTCCCCGGTGAGGCCTGCTCTGGAGGTGCATTGCCTGAGAGTGTTGGAGTCTGCCAGCGCCTCCGCCTCTGGCACTTTTCGTGTGGAGCTGACTCGGCTGCTGCCCGTCGAGGACCTGCCTTTGCCCCGCTGGAGACACACGGCAACCAAAGTTGTGCATCAAGGTGGGTGGGAGGCTCTCTCTGGGCTGCAGCAAGGCAGGCTGGCTGGCAGGCCGGAGGCAGTCTGGGGTGGAGAGTAGCCCAAAGGGGCTGCATCTCTTTCCATCTCCTGGATACCTGTCAGGAAGCCCCTTGCTGCTCTCTACTCCCCGGAGGCTCCAGATACAGTTGAGGGAGGAAGGGCAAGGGAGGAGTTCTGTGGTGGGATTTCCCACCAGCCCCTTGCCAATTGTCTTAAAGCCCAGAACAAGTTGTGCTAGTTGGCGGACCTCCTCTAAAGCACTGGTGGAGCAGGGCCAGCAGCCCTTGGAAGAGGCAGTTTAAGATTCCCATGGGAAACTCGGGGCAGCCTCCCTCCCTCCCTTCAGCAGGGCCTTAATAGTTTTCCTGCACCTTAGGAGATCCCAGGGAGGGGGCAGGACTCCACTCTGACCTCCTGCTCTTTTCCAGGTGAGGCGTACCTGTTTGTCTATGGGGGCTGTTGCTCCAGGCAGGCTGTGCTGGCAGATTGGTGCTTCCTGCGCCTGAAGGAGGAGGGGGAGCTCTCCTGCAAGCAGGTACGAGGCAGGCAGAGCCCTCCTGTGCTCCTGGCTGGAGCCTGCATTCATCGGTCCCCGTTCGAGTGACCCTGTCAACTGCTTCAGTGGTGTTGGTCCCGTGGGTGGAGTTAGAGAAAAGAGACTTTCCCAAACCTCAGTCTCATTCCCATAATTGTTTGCAAATCAGAACCGGAAGAAGTTTGGGTGCTGTGATGCTTTCCATGCAAGCAACCTTCAAAGTTTGCTTCTTTGCTTCATTTTTATCGTGCCTTTCAAGGTGTTTTGGGGAGTGCACATGTCATCTTCACAACAACTCTGTGAGGCAGGCTAGGCTGACAAATGGTGGCTGACCTGAGGTCACTCAGCAGGAGCCATAGCTGACTGGGTTTCCCTCAGCCTTTTAGTCTGACCCTCTAACTATCCAAACACAACCTTGGCTTGAAACTGGAGAGTCTGGGACCCCACCCCCCAGCCTGTGCCTCCTCTTTTGCCACTGAGAAGGCCTCTCCCCATGTGTCCCCCTTTGGCTCCCAGTCCAGCAGCCCCTTCTCTTTACACATGTCCCCAACCAGATGGGGAAACAGGCTGCCCCTTCCACGCCTGCCACCCGCTGACCTGAAGGATGCAGTCTGCTCCATCTGAGAAGGCTTACTGGGTCTGGGCAAGATCTGCAGCTTGCAAAGGACTTACACATCTTCTAGAAATGAGGGAGTCTTGTGAGCAGGAGGTGTGAGTGCTGACAAAGCAACTCATGCCTTTATGGAATACGGCTGAAGTCGGAGATTTTGGGAAAGCCCTCTTCTCTTGGCACCTGCTCCCTGGTGGCTCTTGGCTGCTGCACCAGAACAGCCTTTTCATGCTTCTGGGGGTGGGAGGTGCAGGGGGCTTGCTTGGTGTGTGTGGGGAGAAGCATATACTCATGAGTCCCTGTCCTTTGGGGAAAGGGTGCTGCCGGCTCACTCCTTCCCTTCTGCTCCTTGGCCTTAGATCCCTGTGGATGGACCTGTCCCAGCTGGCCGCCACTCCCACAGCGCCTGTGGCTGGGCAGGTGGGGTGCTCATTGCAGGGGGCCTGGACGCAGCAGAGCAGCCTCTGGGGACCATCCTCTTTCTGAGGCCCGCTGGGAAAGGCTTTCAGTGGCACTCAGTGGAGACCCACCCGCCAGTCACTCCCAGGTAAGCTCCCTCCCTCCCTCCCTCCCTGGAGCATCTCTGCATTAGGCAGGTGGCAGCTGCAGGTCCCATGGGTGGGTGGGCTTGTCCCCTTCTCGGGCAAATACCCAAAGGCCAGAGCCAAGCTGTGGTGCTGTGAGGTTGTGGCACAGCCCTCCCCGCAGAGGCTTCTGGTCAGGTCTCCTGCTCTGCCCTGGCCCCAAAGGCCCCCAAACCTCCAACAGACTTTGCCCCCATCTGGCATTTTGAGCCACCTGTGCTCAGAAGTACATCCCACTGAGTTGACTGAGTCTAGCAAAAGGGAACTCCTGTTACCAGGGTGCCGTGATTGGTCAGATGGAGCAAAGTGGCGCTGGCAGCAGATGTCGTTACTTGAGAATTGCAAGGCACAGACTTGTAGCTATCAGTGAAATCAAAGTTATTTTATAAAATCAAAATGCACGTGGAAGGACGCTCAAGTCGGGCTCAAGAGGCTCCCATCGAAATCTAGCCTTGAAATCCTGCCTCTTCAGGATTGGCAGCAAAGGCTCTTGGGCTGCTTCTCAGACAAAAGAGCAGGCCAACTTGGATGTCCTAGTTCCGGTGGCTGAAGGAGCCATGGGGTCTGTGGTCAAGGGGCAGGCAGAGAAATCCTTGGAGGGAGCGACCCACTTGCACCTCGGTTGCTGCTGGTTGGAGTGTGGGGGGCTTTGGCTCTAGGAAGATGGAGGTGGCCTGGCACTGTTTCCTCCGCTCAAGCGAGGGCTGCCGCTGCTGCCCCCCTCCCTTCCCTCCGTCCAGGTACTCACACACAGCCCATGTGCATCGGGGGCGGCTGTTGCTGGTGGGCGGCGTCTGGTTCCATGCCCCGGCTGTGCCTGGCGTCACTGTGATAGATCTGGCAACGGGACTCACGGCAGAGTATTGCATTGACACGGTGAGTTGCTGGTGTGGGAGATATGCCTTTTCTATAGCTGCCTCCAGGTTCACTTACCTGCTTGCCCTAAGCATACCTTGAAGCAGGATCCCACCCTTATGCCTTACTGAGAGTCACACTATTGGTCCGTCTAGCTCATTGCTGTACGCACTGCCTTTTCCAGGCTGCAGGATTGGAACGGGAAGTGCAGGTGAACAGGCAAGCAAGGATCCTGTTTCAGCTGAAGGTGCTTAGGCTGAGCTATTGGAGGGCTGGAGAAATGGGAGGCTGTGCCAAAGACTTGGTGGGATCCATGGGCTTTTGCAGAGGAATGAGAGGGAGCCTCATGCGGGCATCCCTGGAAGGCAGTTCCAAGCACAGGAGACAGGCAGGGAGAACGGGGTGGAGTCTTCTGGGGAGCAGGAGGGCTGAGGGGTTGGCAGCACAGGAGCAAAGGTCACTGGCAGAGATGTACCAAAATCTATGAGTGGAGAGAGAAGCTGGGGCAAAGCCACAGTGGGGTGTGAAGAGGAGGACAAGGAGTTTGTGCTGAATCCAGGGCAGAGCAGGAGGGCTTTAAGGAGGGGAGGCATAGCAGGGGGTGGACTGGGTGACCCTTTGGGTCCCTTCCAAGTGTCTGATTCCAAAAGAGGGGGGGATGTTGGCATCCACGTGCTGATGGACACGAGGAGACCAAGACTAGAGGTGGGAATGTGCCTGGGGTCATCTAGGCAAGGGCCATTGAAGTAGGGAAGAGTTGTGTCCTTGCAAGGGCTGGCATTGCTCATGCCAGATGCTTTTGGCTTCTCTCTTCCTCTCCCCCCACCAGCAAAGCAGGGGCTGGCTACCCGCCTCCCCACAATCTCCTTCCCCAGAGTGGGGGGTGAGTGAGGCAGGAGGAGCCCCTGTGTGCGTCTGTTGGCTGCCACCTCTGGCCCCCTTTGCCAGCCTGACTCCTGATGCCATCCTCGCCCCTCTTCTCTACCAGGCCTCTCTGGAGTGGCCTCTGATGTTGCACAACCACAGCAGCGTCTTCCTGCCAGATGAAGAGGAGCTGCTGCTTCTTGGCGGTGGCGGCAACTGCTTCTCCTTTGGGACACATCTGAACTGCCATCCTGTCCGCCTGGCCCTGGGTAGTATTTGGAGTGAGCCGTGAAGCCCTGAGTGGGCCTGAGAGGATGTGGTCAACAGAAGGGAAAGAGGTTGCCCTGCCCTGGCTTGGTGAGGGTGAAGTGGGGGGGGGCAGGGCAGGGCAGGGCAATGCCCACCCACCCTCTGCATGTGGTATGTGGCTTTTGGCTCTTTCTGCCCCAGGGAAGTTGATGAGCTTCTTGGCCAGGAGGTGTTATTTGCTCAGAGGTCAAATGATGGTGGGAGGGAAGGAAGCAGGGCCAATGGAGGTTTGGGGCAGCTGTCCTATGTTCCCAACCATCTTCTTAGATTGGGGAAGAATTGATGAATGAAGGCCAAAGAATAAATAAAATCTGCTCTCGCCAGGGAGGCTCGCTTGACGCCTTCCCTACACAGCTTTAGGTGCCAGGTAAAAACATTCCTCTAAGGCCTTTTAAACGGGGGTGGGGTGGGTACTGTTCCGTTTGTTGTTACGTTGTGCATTTTTATACTGTAAGCAACTCTGTGAGCTTTGGATGATGCGTGGTATAGGAATTTAATAAAGAAATGATAATCTCTGACTCATTCTTAGCCCAAATCTAGTACTCAGTTGTATGCTAAAATCATGGGTGACGCTGACATTCATGCGAAAGGGTAGTTTTTAAAAACTTAAGAAAACCTGGGCTTTGTGTTTTCTTAACAAAATGCAGTGAGATAGGGGTGGGAAAGAGAGAGAGAAGTGACTTGCCTCTCCTGGTTTTTCATACCTTTCATTTAGCAGGATACACGCAGCTGTCATTTGGGTCCCCTGCATTGGGATTCTGTCACTCTTATCCATGCATTGGGATCCTTAGGAAAGGGACTGAAAGTAAAGCTGTCTGTTTTGCAATGCATACTAATCTATAGTGTGGCTGCACTTGGAATACTGTGTGCAGAATTGGTTGCCTCCCCTCAAAAAGGATATATCCAGAACAGGCCTTGCTCACTCCTGCTCACTGTAAAACATTCACCACCTTCAAGGACCAAGAGGGAGAGAAGAAATCCCCAAGAACCTTATAATAACATTTGAAAAATACAGAATTAAGGGTCTAGCTTACTGTGTGTTGTGAAATGCAAAGGAACTGAAGTATGAATCAAGTGTGATTGAAATTTACCATGGTATTTGTCCTTAAACCTTGAGAAAGTGCAGAGATTTTAGACCGTTTACTCTTGCATTAAAGGAAGCTGGCTATGCATGCAGATGGGGCATCCCTTTCAAGCTGCTAGTCCAGTGATTCTCAAAGGATGTGCCAAGAGAGAATAGCAATCTGTGGCAGGAAGATGCAAGGACAACTAAGAAACATTTAAACATTTCAGTATAGTATAGTATAGTATAGTATAGTATAGTATAGTATAGTATAGTATATTTCTATCTACACACACACACACAACCAACCAACCAACCAACCAACCAACCAGAAAGTGTATCCATGCCTCTCTTCAAGAGCATTGCCTGTTCTTCTACAGTTCTCTATGACATATTGTTGTAACAGAGATTTTCAACTCTGACAAATATGAAATATCAGAAAAGAAAAGGGCTTCTTTGTGTTGATGAGGAGATGAGAGTGTGCTTCAAATTACAAGAAATGAGATTCTTAGTAAACACCAGGAAGAACTTTCTGACAAAGCTGTTCAACAGTGGAATGGACTCCCTGGTAGTGGACTCTCTTTCCTTAGCGATTTTTAAGCAGAGTTTGGATGGCCATCTGTCAGGGATGCTCTAGTTGAGGTTCTGGCATTGCAGGGGGTTGGGCTAGATGACCCTTGGGGTCACTTCCAACTCTACCATACTAGGATGAGGTTTCCTGTTCCTTGCAGAGCCTTGCTCAGGCAGCTAGCCAAGAGGGTCTCTCTGAGTGTGTGCATTGCACGTGGTTCCTTCTGGGCTCCTGCTTTCCAGAGGGAAAACGGCAAGAGAAATATGATATTCTTGTAAAGAAGCTGGTAAAATGCGGTCTTGACTATGCTACCACTCAGTGGATTTGTAACTGGCTGACTGACCGAACCCAAAGGGTGCTCATCAAGGGTTCCTCTTCATCCTGGAGAAGAGTGACTAGTGGGGTGCCACAGGGTTCTGTCTTGGGCCCGGTCTTATTCAACATCTTTATCAACGACTTGGATGATGGACTCAAGGGCATCCTGATCAAATTTGCAGATGACACCAAACTGGGAGGGGTGGCTAACACCCCAGAGGACAGGATCACACTTCAAAACGACCTTGACAGATTAGAGAACTGGGCAAAAACAAACAAGATGAATTTGAACAGGGAGAAATGTAAAGTATTGCACTTGGGCAAAAAAATGAGAGGCACAAATACAAGATGGGGGACACCTGGCTTGAGAGCAGTACATGTGAAAAGGATCTAGGTGTCTTGGTTGACCACAAACTTGACATGAGCCAACAGTGTGACGCGGCAGCTAAAAAGCCAATGCAATTCTGGGCTGCATCAATAGGAGTATAGCATCTAGATCAAGGGAAGTAATAGTGCCACTGTATTCTGCGCTGGTCAGACCTCACCTGGAGTACTGTGTCCAGTTCTGGGCACCACAGTTCAAGAAGGACACTGGCAAACTGGAACGGGTCCAGAGGAGGGCAACCAAAATGGTCAAAGGCCTGGAAACGATGCCTTATGAGGAACGGCTAAGGGAGCTGGGCATGTTTAGCCTGGAGAAGGGGAGGTTAAGGGGTGATATGATAGCCATGTTCAAATATATAAAAGGATGTCACATAGAGGAGGGAGAAAGGTGGTTTTCTGCTGCTCCAGAGAAGCGGACACGGAGCAATGGATCCAAACTACAAGAAAGAAGATTCCACCTAAACATTAGGAAGAACTTCCTGACAGTAAGAGCTGTTCGACAGTGGAATTTGCTGCCAAGGAGTGTGGTGGAGTCTCCTTCTTTGGAGGTCTTTAAGCAGAGGCTTGACAACCATATGTCAGAGTGCTCTGATGGTGTTTCCTGCTTGGCAGGGGGTTGGACCTGATGGCCCTTGTGGTCTCTTCCAACTCTATGATTCTATGATTCTATGATCTCGGTGCACTCGGCTTGCCAAGAGTTAAGATGAACTGAGTTGTATTCCTAGAGAGAACAGGAAATAAAGGAGAGGGGGTAAGGTGCTCCAGAGCAAAAAAATCCTCCTCCCCAGTCCCTTCCAGCAGAGGGGGTGACTTTTGTCTCCCTGCTCTGCAAATGATCCACTGATGGCACCTCCTGGGATCTGGTGAGTCTGGAGGATGCATTGGGGTGCATTCACCTCACGAAACAGGTTCCTGCCCGCTTCCTCTCTGCAAAAGCAGGGAGAGGGCCAGTTTGCAGGAGGTCTGCAACTTTAGCCTTCCTTTGGATCAAGACGCTGCTTGCCCCTTTGGGGAGGGGGTATTTCGGTCAAGGGGAAAAGGGCATGCAGATAAATCCCATTTAGATGAATGATTAAGTCACATTTGTTAACAAAGGTTGTAGCCAGATGGAAACAGATGGACATAGAATATACGCAAAAAATATAAATGAAAACATGACCTATGCAATAAAGAAAGAAAGGCTGTTGGAAGATGGAGGGCAGAGAAAAGAAAGTGATTCTTCATGCTGTGCAGAGTTATACCAAGAATCTCCTGCAGGAAACAGTGATGGCCATCAACCTAGATGGCTTTAAAAGAGGATTAGGCCAATTCATGTAGGAGGAGAGAGCTATGGGATAAGACTGTGGCTCTTGGCCTGCTATGGGGCAAGACAGGAGAGGCACCAGATGGCCCTGTGAGAACAGAAGGCTGCACTCTGGCCTGTGGACTCTGTTGTCTTTCAGTTAGAAGTAAAGCTTTTCCCACCATCACCTGCCCATCAACCAGACAGGGGTGTGATCCAGACTCCTGGCTGACATGCTTGTGCCTGTTCAGACATGCAACCCCTCAGAGATTCAGAGGATCTTTGGAGACTGAACAGGAAGCTCTGCTGAGAACCACGAGAGGTCACCATCCAGGGAATCCAAGGCAGTGGTTCATTATTAGTGATCCAGAGCATAGAGTACCATGGCCATGTCAGGATTCTGGCAGGAGAACTAGCTGGAGCTGGAAATGGGCACAGCTGGTCACCCAAGGCCACCTGCGTCTCCAGTGACCATGTTGGATCCAGGAGTGCCCCCCAAGCATATAGGGCTGTGTGGCGGTTAAGCTATTATTATTATGTTGACAACACAGATGGATGATTCAGCTGGCTCTGAAGCATGAAGAGACAATGTATTTATTTCTCTTTTAAACCTCTGTTCACTAGAAAGATAAAGGCCTTCGCTAAGTCACTTTCATGAAACCTTTTAACATTCTTCAGCCTCAGTGTCAAGGAAGTTGCCCTCTACTCCCATTTCTGTGGATTTTTCCTGGGCAAACTTTGTACCTGGTTCTATTCCCTTGTTTCACGTTTTCTGCAATGATCCCACAAAACCTTTTATCATTTCGTTTGCTACATAAAGAAAAAAACTATTGCTTTGAAGAGACTGGTTTACCTTGTAGATGCAACTCAATATTCTTTCCCATATTTCAAGAAGGCAGAGAAAACTATTTGTCTGATCAAATAAGTTTATGTGTCTGATGAAAGCTTGTGCTCCAAAAGCTGTTCCAATTTATAAGATATGTCGTTCAGTATTGAAGAAACAGAATTTATTTATTTTTAAAGGCAATTTGTTTGGATAACCACCTCATATCACTGTGACATTTAAAGTAACTGAAAGTTTGTCCATTAAAACTTGCCATCTTCCTGCTGAACCACTGAAAAAATTGAAGAGTTGTACAGTTCCAAAAAAGGTTACGATCGTCAGTGAAACACTTGCAGTGCTGTAATTAAAACTGTGGGCAGCACAGCGTACGTATCTTGCCAAATCATTAACCTCAGACAATCTTGCCTGCACACTGCTATATTTTCCAGCCATGTTGCTGCCATTATCATATGTTTCGTCATGGCAGTAATTGATTTTCAGACCATCAACCTGCAATTTTAATAAAATATAATTTGAAAGTCCTTTTCCTGTTTTTTCATTTGTGTTAATAAAATCAAAGAACTTTTCTCAATTTGACAAAGCCCATCTGAGAGGTCTACAAACCTTACAACTTGACTCATCTGCTTCATTTGAGCACTTCCTGGGGTGCAGTCAAAGAGGATAGAAAATTATTTTGCTACTTTAATTTTTCCAATACTATCGACTCAATAAACTCATTTTGAATTCCTGGCACCATCTGCCGTTTCTGAAAACTAAGCCTCCTTTATTCGTTTGCATTCTAATGGTCAGTTCTTTCGATGCTTTGAAGTACTAATGGTCCCAGGGGTTGTTGATTGGCTAGGATTAAAGCCTGTTACACACTTAGGACATTAGGAGATAGATTCACATACTATTCACATAATTGTTGACGCTCAGAAGTAGGTCCACACATTCCAATACACATGGATGTTAGATTACATTCTCAAGGTCTGACACACAGTCTTTCCACATAAACACTAATTAACCCTAACCCTAACCTTAACCCCTTCAAATACACATTAAGACTGTCTTATATCCCGGTTATCACATACAAGTTCTAATTAAATCCTAATATTTACTAAACCTAAACATTTAGCACCCCATATCTAAAAGGTAAAGGGACCCCTGACCATTAGGTCCAGTTGTGACTGACTCTGGGGTTGCAGCGCTCATCTCGCTTTATTGGCCAAGGGAGCCAATGGTCATGTGGCCAGCATGACTAAGCCGCTTCTGGCGAACCAGAGCAGCGCACGGAAACGCCGTTTACCTTCCTGCTGGAGTGGTACCTATTTATCTACTTGCACTTTGACGTGCTTTCAAACTGCTAGGTTGGCAGGAGCTGGGACTGAGCAACGGGAGCTCACCCCATCGTGGGGATTCGAACCGCCGACCTTCTGATCGGCAAGTCCTAGGCTCTGTGGTTTAACCCACAGCGCCACCCACATCCCACCCCACATATCTATTACAGTATAAATACTGAGTTTGATGTACCAGTGGAAGGGTGTGTGTGTGTGTATATATATATATATATATATATATATATATACACTATAATAATAATAAAATTATCCAGTAGCACCTTAGAGACCAACTAAGTTTGTTCTTGGTATAAGCTTTCGTGTGCATGCACACTTCTTCAGATACCTGAAGTGGAAGGAAGTAAAATATAATTAAAAATCAATATGAATGTTTACTGGGATGAATGTAGCACCTCCCATCTTCAATCCCAGGAAAGGCAGGATCAGCGTGTCTCCTTATTCCTCCCTCAGCTGAGATCTGGCAGAACGGAAGACATGAGAGCCATCTTTCAATATCTGGAGGGCTGACCCGCGGAAGACGGAGCAAACTTGTTTTCTCTTGCTCTAGAGGGGAGGACCCAGAATAATGGATCCAGAGGACCAGAAACCAGTTTCTGCTTAAACAGCAGGAAGAACATTCTGACGGGAAGAGCAGCGGACTCCCTTGGGAGATGGCGGACTCTCTTTCCTTGGAGGTTTTTAAGCAGAGGTTGGATGGCCATCTGTCATGGATGCTTTAGCTGAGATTCCTTCCTTTTGTTGTAAGCCAAAAATGGCTTATCTTTTGAGTTACACCAATAAAACTCAGAGACAAGAGGAGTTAGGAGTCCATCGTTGTTTATTGCAAAGCAACGGGTTACAGTCGAATCTTTTCGCAAAACTGCAACCCCGCCCAAGGGTCAGGGCAGGGGTGTTTGTAAGTTTCAAACAAAGCATTTCCACCATCAATTTCCACCAATCATATACATAATTACCTCATTTCATGTTTAATACACATGCACAATGAGCACTGCTGACTAAGCTTTGATTCTCACCGTGATCAGTTACATTGGGTTAGTATTCATGTTGGGAACCTGTGTTACGTGTAGCCATTTGCAACATGTATCAACTTATGTTCTAGCTTTATGGAAGACACTCTTACTCGGCTACGAGTGATCGCCAAAGAAGAAGAAGATTTATTGTGGCCCTTTGGGCCACCACACACTTTCAGGTGGTAGGATTAGATGACACTCAGCGTCCCTTCCAACTCTCTCATTCTACGATTCTGGGATGAGGTTTCCTGCTTCTTGCAGAGCGTTCTTAACTGCAAGCTGTTCCTCCTGCTTCCGGCCAAAGGAGCGAACAGCTCAGAAGGCCAACCAAGGGGCTCCCCCCATCAGACATCCCTGGAGTGTGTGCAATGCACGTGGTTCCTCCTGGTGGGTTGCGTTCTCTCTCTCTCTCTCTCTCTCTCTCTCTCTAGCTCTGTGGGTGTCTCGAGAAAGAACTGCGGAGAGGAAGAGATGGGTGAGCTCAGTGCGCTCGGCTTGCCACGGGTTAAAATGTACTGAGCTGGTTCCTAGAGATGACAGGAAAGAAAAGGGGGCTGGTCCTCCAGAGCAAAAGCCCCTCCCTCCCGGGCTCTTCCTGCAAGGGGCGTAGCTTTCGTCTCTGTGCTCTGCAAATGCTGCCTCGGCGCCGCCATCTGGGATCTGGTGAGTCTTAGCTGTCTCCCCCCCCCCCCATAGGATGCACTGGGGTTTCGGGGGTGGGCAGGGTCGCTAGGGAGGATGCATGGGGCCAGCTCAGCTCATGCAGGGAGCTGGGCGCTGTGCACAGAGTCCGGAAGGGACTCCAGGGGTCCAACCCCCTCAAAGCAAGGCCAGGAGCAGAGGTTGCTGCCCGCTTCTCCTCTGCAAAGGCAGGGAGCGAGCGAGTTGACAGGAGCTTTGCAACTCTAAGTCTGCCTTTGGATCAATACGCTGCTTTCCGCTTTAGTGAGGGTCTTTGGGTCAGGGGAAAGACAGCATGGAAATACAGTGGTACCTCGGGTTAAGTATTTAATTCGTTCCGGAGGTCCGTTCTTAACCTGAAACTGTTCTTAACCTGAAGCACCACTTTAGCTAATGGGGCCTGCCGCTGCGCCGCTGCTGCACAATTTCTGTTCTCATCCTGAAGCAAAGTTCTTAACCTGAGGTACTATTTCTGGGTTAGCGGAGTCTGTAACCTGAAGCGTTTGTAACCCGAGGTACCGTACCACTGTAAGCAAAATTGAGATTGTAGCGGGACAGAAACTTTTGGGCATAAGATGATAGAACCACAGAATTGTAGGGTTGGAAGGGATTCCGTGGGTCATCCAGCCTCTGCTTAAAAGCTCCAAGGAAGGAGAGTCCACAGCCTCCCTAGGGAGACTGTTCCATGCAAGAAATAGAGACGAAAACTTGACCCCTGCAACAAATATGGAAAGACTGTTGGAAGATGGAGGGCAGAAAAAAGAAAGGGCTTCTTCAAGTGGTGCCGAGTTAAACTATGCAACTCCCTCCTGCAGGAAGCAGTGATAGTCACCAACCCAGATGGCTTTAAAAATCAAAACCTGAAAAGGGAGAAAAACTGCAAATTCCAACAGGCTCCTCCCTGTCTTCTTGAGGCTCTATATGTGTCTTTTTTTGGGGGGGGGAGATGCCCTTGATTAGTCGCCAAAGAGCAGCACTCCAGATATTATTAACCCAAGCCTCTATTGGTATATTAGAGGTTTCCTTCCGTCGTTGGGAAATTATTAGTTTAGCTGCTGTGAACAGGAAAGAAATTAATTTTTTAGATTTAAGGTTGGAGTTTGGGGTCAAATCTAGTGATAATAAAGCAAGTGCCAAATTAGGAGGGATATTTTGGTAATTTTGGAGGTCAGGTGAAAAACTTTTTGCCAAAAGACATGGACCACAGTACACTCCCACCAACCATGGAAGTAGGAACCTCATTCTCCACAACTTTTCCAGCATAATGGTGAGCTGGATGGATTGATCTTTGCAAGGCGTAGGGGGGGGGAGTGCAAAGTCACCAAAAGATAATTTTAAGGGAAATTTCCTGGAGGTGAGCTGAAATTGTTGTTAGAAAAGGATTATGCCATATAGATTCCCATGTTTTTTCACTTATTGAGGTTTCTATGTCATTCAAATATCTTCCATGCTGCCCACAAAGCTGTCTACTGTATATGTATCTTGGGGCTTTATTCCCCCCCACACACACTTGAGGCTTTATATTATTATTGTTCTGGTTGTTATTGTGAGTATTGCTATCACTACTACTATATTTATTGCCCAGGGCAGGTTACAACCATTTTAAACCTTCGTATTGACAAGAGTGAAAACAAATGACAGTCAGAGCAATAGGGTGGGTCCTGAAAGCACAAGTCTCCAGTGTCAGAGGCCATAGTGAAGAGGGGAAGGTACCAGGTGCTAGGATCATGGCAATGAAAGTACTGAATAGAGTTCAGGTGATAACACAATCCTGTTTAACACCTGATCCCACTATGAATGGTTCACTTTGAGGGCCCAGAAACCTATGTCCCCATTGTGGAAGGACGTGTGGATCCAGAATTGGCTTCCACAGTCACTTATGGACTCACAGTAAAAACTGTGTTTATGGAGGACAATCTTACTTGGCTACGAGTGCCGAGGAACTGCCACAAGGATGCGCTGTTTTGGGCTACCTCTTCACCTAAAACGCAGAGGGTGGTGAAACTCCCAAGGGAGCCCCCTTTGCCAACCTGAGCACCCAAGAGTGTAGAGAAGGAGATGGTTCTGCTTAAGTGAACAGCTCACGTGAGCACTTTGAATTGGGTCTGGAAATGAATGGACAACCCCAGCAGCTCTTTTAAAACAAGAATTAAATGTGTTATCAAAGGTTGTTGCACAGCCCCCAGTCCCCTCCCCATTCATCTTTTCATGGTGGTAGATGGGAAGAAGTGGTTGTGGAACCAGACCAGGTAGGGTGAAGGAGCAATGAGGTGACATAGGCTGAGCGGTGGGGCAGCCAGGGTTCCCCTGGGCCTGAATGAATCTTCTAAGCAATTGACAAACCATAAAAAAAAAAAAATCAGTGGTCAGGATTCACATAACCAGCTCCATCACTTGCACAATGGGGCTTCCCCCAATGTCCTCTACCTCCCTGTGCCCCCATGTGCCCCTTGACATTGGCTAAGGGCATCGGGAGGGTATCTCAATCCCCATAACATCACATGGCTTGCTCAGACAGAATGATTAGAATAACACCATGTGGAGTTTCAGCCATTTTTACAAAGATGTTAAAAAAAACATGCACAATTAAAACATGCAGCAAAAGAATCCTATTAAAACAACAAACAACAGAACAATGTGTTGGAGATAATGTTTATGCTAAGAGAATGACATTTTTCTTTGTCTTTTAGGGTCCTTTGTGCTTTGAAGAAGTAGCTGTTTGTGGGATCATGGACTCTCTCGGTAAGGCTCCCTGTTGGATCACATGTGTTTTGAAATTCAATACATATCCCTAAGCGAGGAACCTCCAGTATCTTAAAGGAGCTCAACTGCACCACCTACAGCATCTGGAATTCTAAACCTTCCACAGCCTTGAATGAAGGGCTGTCTACTGTTTGGTCTGTGAATATTCTTCCTCCGGTTATTCCTTTTTAAACCATGATCAGCCTGGTCTGAACTGATAAATGTAGACTACAGAGTAGCTTCTGTCTATTTTTGGTTGAACAAAGAGACAGCAGCCTTTGGAGATGGAGCAGATTCCATTAATGGGCCAAATAAAACCCATCCCAGGAAAGAGCTAGGTTTTTCAAATCTCAGGTTCTCATAAATAGCATTAAATAGCATTAATTAGCATTGTTCAATACTTTGAGGCTCCATTTCTTCCCAAGGCTTTAATCTATTTCGCTGTTTGTTGCAGGTGGTGATGATTTGGAAATTAAGAACAAGGGAGACCACAGCAAAACACACACAGTGGAGAGACAATCAAAATATTCAGAGGGTGGAGAGAATTTCAGTCAGAGCTCCCATTCCATTTCCAGTCATGGAAATCCTATTGAGAAGAAACCTTTCCAGTGCTTGGAATGTGGAAAGAACTTCATTCGAAACTCCCATCTCACTTCCCATCAAAGAATTCATACTGGGGAGAAACCTTATCAGTGCTCGGAATGTGGAAAGAGCTTCAGTCAGAAGGAAAATCTCACTTCCCATCAAAGAATTCATACTGGGGAGAAACCATATCATTGCCTGGAATGTGGGAAGAGCTTTAATACAAGCACAAGCTTCCATAGACATAAAAATATTCACCGTGGGGAGAAACCCTACACGTGCTTGGAATGTGGAAAGAGCTTCAGTCAGAACACTCACCTCACTTCCCATCGGAGAATTCACAGTGGGGAGGAACCATATCAGTGCTTAGAATGTGGAAAGAGCTTCACCTGGAAGGAAAGTTTCATTTCCCACCAAATCATTCATACAGGGGATAAACCGTATCAGTGCTTGGAATGTGGAAAGAGCTTTAATACAAGCAAAACCTTTCGTCAACATCAAAGTATTCATTGTGGGGAGAAACCATTTCGGTGTGAAGAGTGTGGAAAGATTTTTAGACGAAAGGAAAATCTCACTTCCCATCAAAGAATTCATACAGGGGAGAAACCATATCAGTGCTTTGAATGTGGAAGAAGCTTCACCCAGAAGGAAAGTCTCAATTCCCATCAAATAATTCATACAGGGGAGAAACCCTATCTGTGCTTGGAATGTGGAAAGAGCTTCAACCAGAGGGCCAATCTCATGGCTCATCAAAGAATTCATACAGGGGAGAAACCATATCACTGCTCAGAATGTGGCAAGAGCTTCAGTAAGAGGGCCAATCTTACGGCCCATCAAAGAGTTCATACAGGAGAGAAACCATATCAGTGCTCGGAATGTGGAAAGAGCTTCAGTCGGAACTCCCATCTCACTTCCCATCAAAGAACTCACAGTGAGGAGAATCATAGAATCACAGAATTGTAGAATTGGATGGGAACCAGTGTTGAACCAAAGGTGAGACTGTTCTGGAAGGCCTGCAAATGCCATAGTGGTAGTCAAGATAACCGCAAACTAATTGGTAGTTGTTTAAGTAATGAATTCACCTATGTTTATGTATTTGCTCTGGTATATGCAAATTGGCTTGCTTTGACGCTATGCTTATGTGTGGGCTGGGGTGCTGGGCTCTTGGCCCAGAAAAGGAACCTATCTGTAAGACTTGAGTATTTGCTACCTATGCCCTCATTGGCCAGGTGGAATTAAGGGAGGTTCTCGCCAAAGTGACATACGCTACTTTGTGCAAAAGTATTACTTAATATTGTACATTGTAGAAAAGTCATGACGACCTCTCACTGCTCTGGTGGCTTACTCGTGTCTGTAACGGCAGTGGGGCTGTGCAGGTATGTCACAAATTTACACCTTTCTGGAATAAAGCACTAGAACTGGTCATTCTGGCACTTTTGACATCTTTCCTTGGTATCCCTGCATCAAACCACTCGTACAGGCCCTCCTTTGAGCCTGTCAATTGGTGTAGATACTAAAATAAGGTGGATTGGGGTAGGAAGGCCATGGGGCTGCAGAGGATCCAGCTTATTTTATTGATGACTTGTTAATTATTTCATATAACTTATGCTGCATTTGTGATGTTATGTTCTATTGTTTGTAAGCCACTTTGGGATTTCTTTGAATGGAAAGTGGTATAGAAATACAACCAATCCATTCCAATCCAATCCAGTCCTCAGCCTGCTGGGCTGCTCAGGGAGATGGGCAGTGTTTTCAACCTTCCCCTTCCTCCCCATATGGGGTAAAGCTCCCCGTTCCTCCCTTTCTGAACAGGCAGAGGTCAAGGAGGGAGCAACTGTGCCTGCCCCTGTTGGGAGGCCTGAAAAAGCCAAGAAAATGGATTATGTGGGGAGTAAAAAAGGAGAGATCTTTGGAACCCAGAGAAAGTGGGATCAGCAGAGCAGGAGTGACAGAGGAACCAGGAAGAACAAACAAAGAAAAATGGGAAATCCTTTCCAAAATGGACCATGGAGGTAGAACAGGTCAGTGACCTGCAAATTGAGCTTTCATTTTATTTTGGATATAATATTCAGTTAGAATCTTGAGAAAGGCTGTGGAATAAAGGTATGAACTTTACTGCATATAGTGCACTTAAAAAAAATGTGATGAAAATGATATATAGATGGTATTTAACACCATCAAAACTTGGTAAAATGTATAAGACAAGATCTAACAAGTGTTGGAAATGCAAAGAAAAGGAAGGTATCTTTTACCATATGTGGTGAACTTGTAAAGAGGTGAAGGCTTTTTGGGAAATGATATATAACGAGTTAAAGAAAATGTTTAAAAACACTTTTGTTAAAAAACCAGAAGTCTTTTTACTGGGTATAGTAGGTGAAGAGATATGAAAAAAGATAAAAGACTGTTCATATATGGAACAACAGCGGCAAGAATCCTTTTAGCCCAAAAATTGAAATAACAAGAAGTACCAGTGAAAGAAGAATGGTGGATGAAAATGATGGACTTTGTGGAACTGGTGAAGCTGACGGGATAAATCTGAAACCCACACGATCAAGTACATTAAAAAATACTGGAGTAAATTTATACAATATTTGAAAGATCACTGTAAGCAATTAACAACACTAGTAGGGTTATCTGAAGACTTGTAAAAAGATTTTTTTTTACCTTTCTATATATATTTAAATTTTGATGTATTTAGTACAGTGGTACCTCTGGATGCGAACGGGATCCGTTCTGGAGCCCCATTCGCATCCTGCAGTGAACGCCACCTGCACGTGCGCGGGTCACGATTCGTCGCTTCCGCACAAGCGCGTGATGTCATTTTGAGCGTCTGCGCATGCGCAAGCAGCGAAAACTGGAAGTAACGCGCTCCATTACTTCTGGGTCGCCGCAAAGCACAACCCGAAAACGCTCAACCTGAAGCTACTTCAACCCGAGGTATGACTGTAATGAGTTATATTAGAATTGGAAAATATATAAAATGCTGTGATATAAGGTTAGTTTTGAAAACCAAGAGGTGGGAGGGAAGGAAGCTGACAGGCTCTAAAGAGCCAAAGAAGTAAAGTGGATAATAATGATGTGATTATATATGTTTAAATGGAAAATTAATAAAAATTATTTAAAAAATAATAATTGAGTTTTCATCCGAATTTCTTTGCCCCAAGTTTGCAAGGAGGTGACTGGTCTGATCCTGCAGGGCTATTCTTGTGCTCTGGCCAGGAAGGGTCCTTGGCTCCCAGTCACCCACCAGGCCCTGAGGAGACCCAGACTTGCTGAGCTTCAGCAAGGAGCGCACCTTCTGCTCATACTCAGGGGCCTTGCTGGAGTCTGCTTTACCCCTTTGAAGGCCAGGACTGAAACTATTTTTATATATTGCAAATTATTCCTCCTTTCATTTTTCTTTCTTTTTTAATGGTGTTGGTTCCTTAGTACACTTTTTAAAGAGAGAACCTGATTCAGCCAGAACTGCCACCATCTTTTTACAGTTTGCTTCCTCCCTTGGAATGCCACTGGGCTGCTGGGCTGTGTTACCTGCAGGTCCAGGAGTTCCCAGGGAAGAGGATGAATGGCCTGCTTTGTCCCTCCTGAGTGAACAGTCTGTTTCTGTGGCCTGGTGAGGCGCAAGAGAGGTAGGCTTTCTTGGTTCTGTCTTCACAGCCTATGTGCCAAGGGCAGGGGTTGCAGCTGCTCTGCAGGGCAGCAGGAAAGGCTCAAAGCGAATGTGGCAGACGGTGTTGGCATTACCCACCTTTGGGAGGAAACTGGTCTAAACTTTTGCATTTCAATCCCCCCCCCCTTATTATTGGTATACATGGTGAATTCTGTCTTTTTCAATGATTTGTGATATACCTTTTTTGAGTAGAAACCTTTTGTATGACACACTCCAATAAATGTTTTGCAATTTTACCCAGTGTCTTTGTGGTAAACACTCCCATGAGGCAAATATTTATGTAGCACAGTCTGTGACCTTAGGAAAGCTGAGGCTCAGAGAGATGGATTTGCTCACAGCCCCCAGATGTCTTGGTCCAGTGGACCAAAAGCCAATTTCTCCGCAAAGGAGTGATGAGTGAGAAATGTTTCTGTCCAGCTAAAGGCAACACCTGGGAGATGCCCAAGGCACCCTGGTCGAGGGTTCACGGCCAAACCTTTATGGTAGTGGTGGACACCTATTCCAAATGGCTGGAGGTGGCCCCGATGCCCTCCACCACTACCCAAGCTGTCATCCTGGTGCTGCGGGGCCTGTTTCCAACTCATGGGTGTCCTGATGTCCTCGTCTTGGACCTCAGTTCACATCAGGCACCTCTTCTCCTCCTTCTGGAACCGTCCCTTTCCCCTTGCCTTCTCGCTTTAGACTTTTCCCTCACAAGTTGGGGTACAGGTAGGGTTGCCATATTTTGAAGAGCAAGAAAGAGGACACATTTGCTGACTGCTACTTTTAACTATGGATCGCTATGACGACTCTCATTTTACATCCCCATGAAAAAGAGGACGTGTCCTGGAAAAAGAAGATGTATGGCAGGCACAGCTCATATGCCCCTCCCCCCCAAGCAAGCCTGCCTGCAGGGTTTGGGGACAGGTGGCGATGGCCGCCTTGTCCGGGGCGGGTGGAGGTCCATCTCCCATTCTGTACAGGAGGCACGCGCCCAAGTTGGGCTGCCTGTGTTCTTCTGAGCGCTGTTTCCGTGCTTGAGGGAACACAGAGGGAGAGAGAGTGCAGCCCAGACTCCCGCCGGAGAAAAATAGCAGGAGTGATGAAAAGCATAAAGGTACTGCAGTATTTTGGAGCAGGAACCGGCAAGCCACTCCAGTATCCCTGCCAAGAAAACTCCATGGACAAAGACAGGAGTGCCCGGCGTGCTCTGGTCCATGGGGTCACGAAGAGTCGGACACGACTAAACGACTAAACAACAACAACTGCAGTATTTGCAGACACCTAAAGCAAGTTTCAGTGTTACCTTCACCTACTCACATTGCTTACTCTCACATCCTGGATCTAGTACATACCTAATTAATGCCCCTGATATCTAACGATTCATAAGAAATTTGAGTGGGCTGCATTCTCACCCACCTCTTAAAAGATCAGAGTATGGAAGGGTAACATGGGAATAATAACGAATGTGATAAGAGCCTCAATAAGTGTACGAATTTCACTATATGGTAAAGTGAACTTAAAAGGTTTAAGGCTTGGAGTACTACTCCTAAACATGCTTTATATAAACAAGATTCCATAGGGTTGCCATTAACATTTTTTATAGGTTTCAGCAGGATTTGCCCTGCCAGACTTTAAACTTTACTATGAATCAGCAGCCTTTTGCTGGTTGAAAGAATGGCTGCTTCTTGAAAACACTGACATTTTGGATCTAGAAGGTTTTAACAATGTAGTTGGATGGCATGCATATCTGTGGTATGATAAGGTCAAAGCACATAAAGCATTTAAAAACCATATTGTCAGGAAAGCATTGTTTAATGTTTGGATAAGATACAAGGACTTATTGGAAAACAAAACCCCAAGGTGGCTGTCACCGATGGAAGCGAGAGCTCTGAAAAAGGTCAATATGGAGGCCAAATGGCCAAAATATTGGGAAATTTTGGAACAAGATGGAGATAGACTGAAATTACAGAGTTTTGAGAAATTAAAAAACAAAGTGCGAGACTGGCTTCATTATTATCAGATAATGGAGGCATATAATTTGGACAAGAAAATTGGCTTCCAGGTGGAAAAATCAAAATTGGAAACAGAACTGTTAGAACCCAAAACTAAGAATTTGTCAAGAATGTATAACTTGCTGTTGAAATGGAATACTCAGGATGAAACGGTGAAATCTGCCAAGATTAAATGGGCACAAGATGTTGGACATAACACAATGATGGCTGACTGGGAACAGTTATGGACCACAGGTATGAAGTTTACGGCATGCAATGCCTTAAGAGAGAATATTATGAAAATGATATACAGGTGGTACATGACCCCAGTCAAGCTTGCAAAAATCTATCATTTGCCCGACAATAAATGTTGGAAATGTAAAGAAACCGAAGGTACATTCTTTCACCTTTGGTGGACGTGCCCAAGGATTAAGGCTTTCTGGGAGATGATTTATAATGAAATGAAAAGGGTATTTAAATATACCTTTCTGAAGAAACCAGAGGCCTTTCTCCTGGGCATGGTTGGCCAAATGGTGCCAAAGAAGGACAGAACTTTCTTTATGTATGCCACAACAGCAGCAAGAATACTTATTGCAAAGTATTGGAAGACACAAGACCTACCCACTCTGGAAGAATGGCAGATGAAGGTGATGGACTACATGGAATTAGCGGAAATGACTGGCAGAATCCAAGACCAGGGAGAAGAGTCGGTGGAAGAAGATTGGAAGAAATTTAAAGACTATTTACAGAAATATTGCAAAATTAATGAATGTTAGAAAGATGTTGGAATGAAGCTAGGTGGTTTAAGCAGTAATGCTATAAAGGTGTATGTAAAAAGGATTGATAACAGATGAAAATTTAAAGTTATAGTATATTAAGTTAAAGGATCATGAGAAAACAAAGAGGGAAAGAAATTGCTGACTTAACTAATTGAACTGGAATACAAAAAAGGGAGGTATGAGGAGGTCAGGGAAACAAGGATATGAATGTAAGGTATGGAAAGATTGATCCATTTTCCTTTTTTTTCTTTTTAAGTGTCTTTTATTCTTTTTTCTGTATTTTGTATTTTTACTTTTTGTTTTTGTGTAATTCTTTTATCCTCTGAAATTTTAATAAATATCATTTAAAAAACAAACAAACTACACATACATGTACTATGTGCACTTTTTTTCTGAAAAAGGCAGATCACTGCCATAGCCCTGGTTACACATAGCTTAATTACCTCAAAGCTGGATTACTGCAATGTGTTCTGTCTGGGGCTGCCCTTGAAGAACATTCAGAAACCCACACCTTAGGAATATGGCTGAATTTTTGACCAGTTTGAAGCATCACATTTTGCCACTTCTGTATCATATTCACTAACTTATTATTAATTTTCAGGAGCTATTTGAAGTTTTTGTTATCACCCCAAAAGCCTAAAATCAATGGTGGGGGACCTCTGGTCACAGGTCTAGTTAGTATCAGACACAACTAAAGATGGATAAAACCATGGATTTCAATTTCTCTCTGTTTCCCATTTTTCCAGTCCTAAATTGAGTTTGCCCTGTTCCACACCAGTTCGTTAAAAATAAATAAATAAATAAATAAAAAGTCCACACAAAAATTAATACAATTTTATGTGCATTTCTCCTAATATACTGGTATTCACACATTTCCCAACTTTATTTTCACGATTTTGTGTTAGTTTCTGTTTTGCCACTGAGCAGCTGCTTAGAGTCACAAGGCTCTGTTTACATTCCAGAGACAGTGCAGGCTGTTGGAAGTCTCACGGGAATGGGAGATGGATGTGACGTTACTGGTTTCCTGTTTCCTTTGTTCCGTAGTTGTTCGGTTGCTCTCTGCTCTCACAGGTAGAGGATGTATTTTTCTTTGTCTGCGTAGTAAGAAATAAAGCATAGTGATGTAGCCATAAATCTCATCACTTCTGCTGCCTGGATTCTCTGCTGAATGGGGGAACGTGCCTCATCAAAGGCTCAAGGTTGTTAATTATTCATCGGAGGCGATTCTGGAGGACTCGGCTGGAAGATGAGCTTTTATCAGCTCGCCCGAGTGGAGATTCCGACATTTTGTGGGTCACTGTTGCTTACTGGGAGGGAGATGGGGAGGCCCAAGGTGTATAGCAAGCCTACCTAAGGAGACAGGATTGCTTTGCGTGAAGGTATGGCTAATCTTTGCCCAGAGTCTTCAGTCCTCAGTTCTCCCTTGCAAGGTGCCAATGGCTGAATACTCTTAATTCTCTTGTTCTGCATTAATGAGCAGGAACCTACTAGGTTGCTGAGAATATTGACCTTCAAACATCCCTGGAAGTTAGGTTACACCAAACAGGACCGTACAAATCAATTTATATCTTAGTATTAGAATTACAAATATACAACAGATTGGTTCATATGACCCCAGGAAGTCTCTCAAGAACTCCTAGGACAAGAATTTGTAATTTGTAGGAGTTTAACAGTGACATCATAGGCATGTGTACTCAGAAGTAACCCTTGTTGAGTTTACTGGGATTTAGTCCCAGGTAAATGAGCATA